CGCGCCTCCAGGCGGGCCCGCGGCGTCGGCGCCCGCCCCTCGCCTCCCGGGTGCCAACCACTCCGGCTCACCGAAGCTGGGGACCAAGCGGCTGCCCCAAGCCCTCATTGTGGGCGTGAAGAAGGGGGGCACCCGGGCGGTGCTGGAGTTTATCCGCGTGCACCCGGACGTGCGGGCCTTGGGTACCGAGCCCCACTTCTTCGACAGGAACTACGGCCGCGGGCTGGACTGGTACAGGTAAGGAGGGGGAACCCCACTCCGTGCGCTGGCACTTCCATGGGCTCCATCCTTCTAGCCATCTCCTGAGCTTTCTCTTCCACTTAACTCAGCTCCTGTGTGGGTTAAGATGACACGTGGGAGTCGGGAGGTGGGCTCTAGCAGAAGGATTTGCCCGGAACTTCCCAGTGATCGTGTAGAAGGGCACGCGGTTTCTGGAACTGCAAAGGCGCCCCTTGTAGACCGTGGAGTGGCTGGAAGGGAAGCGAGACATCCGGTCTAATCTAAGCGCTGGCTGGAGGGCTGGCTCAGTGTCTGGCCTTTCGAGTGGAGCAGGGTCCCCAAGGAAGGACAGATCAGGACCTGTGCTGCCTGAACACAACTCTGTCCTGACCCTCAGAAGATTTTTTCTGGTCTCCTGCACCTGAAAGACCCTGAGAAGAGGAAGTCAGGGGTGAAACTCCTGCAGAGTAGTCCCCATAGTTCAGGTCCAATGAGAGGCATCCCCTGAGGTCTCCGGATGTTAATGGTCCTTGAGAGAGGTCTTAAACCCTGGGGTTTGCCAGGTCCCAGGGCCCAGGCCCCAGTCACTCTGGTTCTGGGTCAGTGGTTTTAGAGTGGTGGAAAGAACCTTGGGTTCTAGTCTTGGTTCTGCCATGTATCTTGAGCAAGCTCTGAAACGCTCCCAGCGTCTATTTTCCCATCCATCACAATGGACAGCAACACAGTCCTTGCCCTGTCTGCCTGCAAGGCTTTCCAGAGTGCTTTAAAGGTGGAAAAAAGACACTTCGTGGTGGGCAATGCTTCTAAACCAGCAGCCAAGATGTGGAACTTGCAACACCTGTGAGCACCTCAGATGAAGGCTGGCCAGGGGCCCTGGGGGCAGCCAGACATTTAGACTGTCCACTTCCCCACTGCTGCGGGGTGGAGTCAGGGCCTGACTGGCACTTCTGTAAGGTGGCAGCCCGACTTTGCAATGCCTGTCTGTCTGTCATGCCTGAGTGGTGCAGAAGTATAGGATTGGCCCATTTGTGGGCTGAGTTACCGCGTCCCTGGGGGTGTGTAATGCATGGGCTCCCTATAACACACAGGTCACAGATTTCTCACCCCTTCACTTGACTCCTTGAAGACTTTCTAGAAACATCTGCATAGTAATGAAATTGGGGAGGGCTATGGTGGTAGCTGACACAGTCTTTTCTTAAAAGGAAACCTTTAGGGGTTAGGGAACCAGCAGTTAGCGTAATGGCTATGTCGCTGGACTCCCACGTAGTCGACCGCGGTTCATGTCCCGGACCCGGTGGCTTAAAACTCACGCCGGGCGCGTGTGCGTGCGTGCCCAAGATCCCGAGAGGAGAATGGAGGAGAAGGGATTGCGGCGTGACCATCCCCCCTGGGGGGTGATTTCTCGCTTTCTGTCTCTATGTCTCTCTCTGTCTGTCTGGCGAGCGCACGCACCCTACAGTGAAAATCTCTCAAAAAAAAAAAAAAAAAGGAAACCTTTAGGGGTTAGAGCTCATAGCCATATTGGGCGAAGGACAACTTCATTAGAAAGAGAACCCCACTGGGCTCATAACAGTGGGCCCTGGATTGGAAATAGCAGGGGACCCCAGGCTGACTTATCACCTTTGCCATTTAGTGGTTGTGGTGGCGGTGGCCAGGGGTGGGTGCGCTCTGTCCTCAGGAGGCAGTCTGTATCCAGTGGAGTTGAGCAGGGCTAGCTGGCCTGTGGGGGCCCTTAGCCCCATTAGGGCTAGCTAATGGAAGAGGTTAACACACAGTATCAGGTGCAGCTGTGTTCCAATGATGTGACCCATTGTGCTTTCCAAGCTGTGACCCACCGTGTCCCATTTAGTTACACAGGGACACTGTCTGAGCCAGGCCCCAGAGCAAGAGAGGCAAATGCCACCAACAGCAGAGCCCTTGGAGTGGTCAGAAGGGCCGTACTCAAATGCACACCAGGGTTTCCTCGATGGAAGATCTAAAGATCATCTGAAACCCTTTGCCAATGTGAAATGCCTTTTAAGTGCAAAATAGCCAAATTCTGAGCATCTGGCTTTTAGATAGTGTGGCTTCCAATAAACACCTGTACTCTGAGCCCAACTCTCCTCCCTTCCTTCTCCTCCCTCCACCGCCAAACGACATACCTCAGGCTTCCTTCCCGGAGCCCGTGTCATTCAGGGATGGCTGCTTTTTATTTTTAACCTTGGCATGTGTGATTCTAAGCCAGCTTAGCTGTGAACCTTAGAGATGGGAGCCGTGCCTTTTTTTTTTTTTTAATTTTTTTTAGCACATTTGGATTCTGCTAAAATTCTCAGCTGAGTCTTGGTAGGTTTTATTTAACATCAAGCATACTGACAGCTCCACTTCTCTCTCTAGTCAAACCCCACACCACCACACCCCACCACCTTTTCCTCCTTTATAGTTCTAAAAGAAAGATTAGCCCAGAGGTCTGGTCATAATTGCCCTGTCTCCATCACCTGTCCAGGAAAAGGCTGCGTGTTTTGCATTTGTTTTAGTTGTAAATCCATGCCCCCAGAGTCAGGAGTTTGTGGATTGCTATTTCTGCACAAGGTGATATTCCCTATTTGGATGCTGTTTCCATAATCCCCCAAACATTTCTCTGTTTGTGTTTTATCCTTTATTATCACTCAAGTAACATGCAGAAATGAAACCCACATCTCACTTTCTACCTGATTTCCGTGAGTTAAGAACGGTGGCTGTTATAATGCTCTCTCTGCCCCTTGCCCTGATCATTTCCCAGATTGCCATCACAAATCCCATGTCCACTGAGGAGACATGACCAAAGAGCCCTTCCATCCATTGTAGCAGCTGTGGTTTCCCAAGGAGGTGTCACAGAGTTGCAGGAGGTGGATCTTATTATGATCTGCCCATATTGAAACCCTTAGCAATAACCTCCTGGATGAAGAGGCCTAAATTCACATAGACAATGGAAAAAGCAAAAGCTTTATCCATAATTCAAAGGAAAGGCTTCTTTCTGTGGGTAAAAGGAGATGAAACTGCAGGCAGAGTAATACTGGAGAGCGCCATCAGCCAGAGACCGTGAGACAGTCTGCACCTTCCCGAACTCAGCCTGAGTCCCTTCTTAGGAACCAGCCTAGTTCTGCTCAGTCCTCTGGAGTGGGACCTCTCCCATCCAGTATATTTCTGGGATCCCGCCTCTGATGTTTGCCCTACCCATGCATCTGGCCTGCATTCCCTTTTCCAAATTTCCTCCCCAAGGTAGTGGCAGGGCTTGCAGGGTAGGATCTGCTAGCTGCTTGCCAGGTTGGTAAAGTGACAGCAGATTGACAAGGGAACCATGATGGGACCTGCTGTCAGAGGACTAGAGATGTCCACTTGGATGCTGTGTGATTTGAAAAGGGGTGATCTGAGACCAGCAGTTGGCATAATGACTATGTCGTTGGACTCCCACGTAGTCGACGGTGGTTCGAGTCCCAGACCTGGTGGCTGAAACTCACGCCGGATGCGTGTGTGTGCGTGCCCAAGATCCCAAGAGGAGAATGGAGGAGAAGGGATTGCGGCATGGCCATCCCCCCTGGGGGTTGATTTCTTGCTTTCTGTCTCTATGTCTCTCTCTGTCTGTCTGGCGAACACATGCGCCCTATAGCAAAAACCTCCCCCCCAAAAAAAGATAAAAAAAGGGGTGATCCTCCTGAGTCTCACCTATCTCATCATAAAAGCCTCTTGAAGGAACCACCCCCAAAGTGATTTAGAAGAATGAATGAAACGCAGAAGGCATATGAAAGTGCCTTAGAAAATGATATGTTATAGAAAGATGAGGCAGTGCTGTTACTCCTGTTGCCACTATTACTGTTACTACTTTGTTACCGACATTCTGGTTATCATCCTTTGTACTCATTTTTTGTTTATTTATTTGCTTTTTTGTTTTGTGTATGAACCAGAGGGCACATGCCTTTGCCAGAGAGAAAGGAGAGGGAGATGGCAACCCCCCAGTGGGGCATGGTCATGCCACAATCCCTTCTCCATTTTCCATCCTGTCAAGGTTGTAGGCATGTACACACACCCCTTATGTGTTTTTCCCATCTGTCTGTTCTGGGACTCGAGCCGCATGGTCAACTATATGGGACCTGCCTCTTTTAATCACTAGGGTATGGAACCAGCCCCACTTGTTAATTTATTTAATCATTCCATGAGTGAGAAAGAGGGCAAGAAATCCAGGCACCCGCAGCAATCCCCCCAAGCCAGGATCACCAACATGCATGTGTACCTGGGATGCTCAGAGAGACCTTGGGGCATGAACCTGGGACCTTCCTGTTTGGCATAAGCATCGCAGTGGGTTGTGTTTCTGCTACTCCATCACTGCTGGCTATCACCATTTGTCCTGTTAGTATTAAAACTCTTCGTTTCTGTCCTCACTGCTGTTGCAGCAGTAGAGCTGAGGAGTTATCTGGTTGCTAGAAAAGTAGCTTCATACTGTCCTTTTCTCCCTCCATCCCTTTCCTCCCTCCCTCAATTTCTCATAAAAAGTCACTGCACATTTCTGGTGTCAGTCTGCTCACCTTTAAAATGGGAATGATGGCTGACCCACTTTCCAATTTTGTGAAAATTGAGTAAGGCCATCCATATAAAAATCCTTCTCCGAATCTAAGTCGTATTTAGTATTGTATCATTTTACCAAAGTCTGGATATGAAACAGACTATTTGGGATCTTTACCTTTCTTATAAAGAGATATAAGCCATGCCACACCCGGTAGTTTTCAGTCATGAAGGAAGGTGAGTTTGGCCTAAAACATTCTCAACTTTGCTCATGTTGAAGTGGGCATGGTGGAGAGGAGGTGAATCTTTTCTAAATGTGTTGAAATGCCAACAATAGCAAGTTAATACATGATAATTGACTCTGCACTTTGGTGCCCAAACTTGGATAGACAGATGAATGATTCTATCAATGTTAGACTTTACTTCACCACTCTAGCTATTTATTTGTTCACCATTCATGGTGTTCTTGGGACAGTGTAAGATAAAGGAGTAGTTGCCTCAGA